GTATCTGTCCTTACACCAGTACCTCACTCACTATCTTGATTACTATAGCTTTGTAGTAAATTTTGAAATTGGAAAGTGTGAGTCTACCAACTTTGTTCTTTTTCAAGATTGTTTTGATTGCTATGGATCCCTTGCATTTTTATATGTATTTTAATATAAGCTTGTCAATTTCTACAAATGTATGTACTTTAAAAATTATTATAAAGCTTGAAGTCCATGGGAGGAGCCCTAGTAGTGCAGTGGTGAAGTGTTTGACTACTAACCAAAATGTTGATGGTTCAAACTCACCAGCCATCTCACAGGAGAAAGATGTGACAGTCTGCTTCCATAAAGATTTATAGCTTTGGAAACCCTGTGGGGCAATTCTGCTCTGTCCTGTAGGGTCTGTATGAGTCGGAATCAACTCAGTGGCACACAAAAATAACAACAACAAAATTTCAGGATTTTCATCTGTGGTTGTGAAACTCTTGTCCTTCTTAAATGGGTCTGTACCTCAAAACAGAAGACACATTTCACCCTCCAGTGTATACCTAATACTTCTAGCAGATTTCCCAATCTTAATTCAGCCAACATTTATGTACACACCGTGTACCAACATCAGCGTCAGATACTGAGCCCTCAGTGATCAGTAAGATCCATTTTCCACTCTCAAATAGCATTGTGTCTCATGGAAGTGATACATTACACAAATAATTGAGAAACAGTATTGCAGATCCTTTAGGGATGGTGTGCAAGGGAGTGGAGTCCTGAAGGAATAATAAGAACAGCTGTCAATAACAGAGCATGGACTCCCTGTCAGGCATTTCTGAGAACTTTACAAATATTATTCACTCATTTAATCTTTACAGTAACCTTATTAAGTAGGTACCATCTTTACCCTACTTTACAGATAAAGAACAGATCAGTGTCCCACAGCCTTTTTTTTTAATAATTCATTTTGTTTTTTATTGCTGTTGAGAATATACACAGCAGAACATCCACCAATTCAGCAATTTCTGTATGCACAGTTCAGCAATGTTGATTACATTCAAGTTGTGCAGCCGTTCTCATCCTCGTTTTCCAAATTGTTCCTCCCCCATTAACATAAACTCACTGCCTCCTAAGTTTCTCATCTAATCTTTCGAATTGCTGTTGTCAGTCGGATCCCATATACTGTACCCTTTAACGCTGAGTCAATTCCGACTCATAGAGACCTTTAGGACAGAGTAGAACTGCCCCATAGGTTTTCCAAGGAGCAGCTGGTGGATTCGAACTGCTGACCTTTTGGTTAGCAGCTGAGCAATAGTTCTTAAAAGAGCACAGTATTCAAGGCAGATATTTTTTACTAGGTGAGCTAAATTACTATATAGTTTTAAGAACACTTCAGGGGATATTTTTGGTTTAAGGTTTCAAGGTTATCTCAGGGCAATAGTTTTAGGGGTTTGCGGTGTGATGGATTGCTTTTGTGTGGCCTTCTCACCATTGTCTTGTAACTCGCACCCAAGTGATTGGGTGAGACTGTGCAAATAGGGTAATTGTCGCCCACCAAGGAGATTGGTCAGTTTTGCATCCCACTAGGCTTACAAGAGAGCCAATTCCGGAGCAGAGGGAGGATCTCACCACCACCAAAGAAAAAGGGCCAAGAGCAGAGTAGTTATGTAATGAAAATTCTTTCTGTATTATTTTTTACAAAGAAACAAGTGATCTGTGAGAACAATTAAATTATATGCATTCATGCTTTGCAAGTGGTTTTGTTAAGTTGTTTTAAAGGTAGAAGTGTTCAGTAATATCCGTAAAAACGAACAGTAATGATGTGCAGTATGTTAAGCTTCCATTATAGTTTACTGAGCGGTGGAGACGGCTCTTTGGAGAGCAAGAAAGCTTACAAAATTAAGTGAAATTTTAATTTTAATTTAAATTTCATGCTTTAAGGAATGAAAGTGATTGTTTCACTACAAAGAACCTTCCCATAAAAATTTGCTACCTGCTCATTTTCTTGGGACCAAAAATTATACAGACTAAAAGTTATACCCAAGCTGCACTGAAGGCAGTGGTGAAAAACAAGGCTCCAGGAATTGACAGAATACCAATTGAGATGTTTCAGAAAAATGGATGCAGCGCTGGAAGTGCTCACTCGTCTATGCCAGGAAATTTGGAAGACAGCTACCTGGCCAGCCAACTGGAAAAGATCCATATTTGTACCCATTTCCAAGAAAGGAGATCCAACAGAATGTGGAAATTATCGAACAGTATCATTAATATCACACGCAGGTAAAGTTTTGCTGAAGATCATTCAAAAGCAGCTGCAGCAGTACATTGACAGGGAACTGCCAGAAATTCAAGCCAGATTCAGAAGACGACCTGGAACCAGGGATATCATTGCTGATGGATCTTGGCTGAGGGCAGAGAATACCAGAAAGATGTTTAGCTGTGTTTTATTGACTATGCAAAGGCATTCAGCTGTGTGGCTCACAACAAATTATGGATAGCATTGCGAAGAATGGGAATTCCAGAACACTTAATTGTGCCCTTGAAGAACCTGTACATAGACCAAGAGGCAGTCATTCGAACAGAATAAGGGGATACATACAGCATGGTTTAAAGTCAGGAAAGGTGTGCATCAGGGTTGTATCCTTTCACCATACTTATTTAGTCTGTATGCTGAGCAAACAATCCAAGAAGCTGAACTGTATGCAGAAAAACACAGCATCAGGATTGGAGGAAGACTCACTAACAACCTGTGATATGCAGATGATACAACCTTGCTTGCTGAAATGAAGAAGACTTGAAGTACTTACTGATGAAAATCAAAGACCACAGCCTTCAGTATGGATTAGACCTCAGCATAAAGAAAACAAAAATCCTCACAAGTGGACCAATAAGCAACATCATGATAAATGGAGAAAAGGTTGATGTCAAGGATTTCATTTTAATTGAATCCATAATCAACACCCATGGAAGCAGCAGTCAGGAAATCAAACCATGTTTTACACTGGGCAAATCTACTGCAAAAGACCTCTGTAAGTGTTAAAAAGCAAAGATGTCACTTTAACGACTAAGGGGCGCCTGACCCAAGCCATGGTGTTTTCAGTCGCCTCATATGCATGTGAAAGCTGGACAGTGAATAAGGAAGACCGAAGAATTGATGCCTTTGAGTTGTGGTGTTGGCGAAGAATATTGAATATACCATGGACTGCCAGAAGAACAAACAAATCTGTCTTTGAAGTAGTATAGCTGGAATGCTCCTTAGAAGCAAGGATGACGAGACTTCATTTCACATACTTTGGACATGTTATCAGTAGGGACCGTCCCTGGAGAAGGACTTCACGCTTGTTAAAATAGGGGGTCAGTAAAAAAGAGGAAGGCCCTCAATGAGATGGATTGGCACAGTGGCTGCAACAATGGGCTCAAACATAGCAACGGTTGTGAGGATGGCACAGGACCAGGCGGTGTTTCGTTCTGTTGTGTCCATAGGGTCACTATGAGTCGGAATCGACTTGAGGGCACCTAACAACAACAACAAAAGTTATGCAGAATGGATGAGGCGTAAAGAAATTAGTAGTAATTTTTGTTAGCTTATCTGTTTAGTCCAGGTGTCCTGTTACATACTTGTTGTTAGTTGCCATCAAGTCTATTCTGACTCATGGTGACCATACGTGTGCAGAGTAGAATTGCTTCGCAGTGGTTTTCAAGGCTGTGACCTTTCAAAAGCAGAGCACCAGGCCTGTCTTCCGAGGCGCCTCTGGATGGGTTCTAACTGCTGTCCTTTGGCTAGTGGTGAAGTGCTTAACTGTGCCATTTAAGGACTCCATGCTTACATGCATACATGCATACATATATACAAACACACATATATGGTTGTGTGTATATATGGTTATATAGCTTTGGGTTTGTTTTGTTAAGCGGGAGGAAGGGTAGAAATATTTTTCCTCTGTATGTAACTTAAGTTTGGGGAACTTCTTTATAGTGCATCTATACCTAGAATTTCAGAGAAACTGTACAGTAAAACCTCTTTATGAGTTGCATTTGCAATCTGCTTAGAAGGGTTTTTTTTGTTTTTTAATGTTTCAAACTTATTGAATAAGTATCAGCTCATGACCAGTCTTGTGATTATTGCAGGTAATTGAGTTCAAGACTAACACTCAGTTTACAGATTAATCTCTTTTATATTAGGTTTTGTGTGTAAATGTTCTTTTTTAAAGAGGTATTTTTATATATGACTTATCTAAGCTCAAGTAATAATAAAGTGGTTATCTAATAATGTAAGCTGCTCTATTGTGATTCTACTCTGTTTTAGAATGGAAGCTTCTTCAAGACTCTGAGCTAGGCATATGTCTCTATGTTGTATTTAGTTGTCCAGCATTTATCTATGAATGCTGAGTAAGTAACATTTAGAGAAAGACATTTTAAAATTAACTGTTTCTTCCAGGTACATTTTTGGCCCTCTTTCCTATTTTGCAGCAAAGAGCAAAACCAATGGTATAGCGCAGTAACTGCAATTCTTTTTTTGAGTTGGGTTTTTTTTTTTTGTTGCTGCTAGTCGTATTTATCTAGTACTGCTGTAACAAAAATAACAAGTGGGTGGCTTTAACAAACAGAAATTCTTTATTTTCTCACAGTTTAGGAGGCTAGAAGTCCGAATTCAGGGTGCTAGCTTTAGGGGAGGGCTTTTTGGTCCTTTTCAGAGCTTCTGCTTCTGGGCAATTTTCATATGGCTTGGCATCTCTCTTCCCCAGTCTCTCTTTGCTAGCTTGCACTTAATCTCTTTTGTATCTCAAAAGAGATTGACTTAAGATACACGCTACACTAATCCTGTCTCATTAACATAACTGAGATAGCCCATTCCCAAATGGGATTATAACCACAGGCATAGAAGTTAGGATTTGTATTATAACGCATTTTGCAGGGGACACAGTTCAATTCGTAACACTGCTGTTGGTTGCATGATTAAATTCATGAAGATAGAGCAATTCTTTTTGTGCTGTGCATACTGATTTTGATTTCTTTCTCTTGTGTATTAGGAAATGTACAGATTACAACTGAAACTCTACTAAAATCCATTGAAAAAGCACAAGGTATGAAGGTCAATGAGACTAAGATGGATAATAATGAAGGACACAGGCATGGCAATGTGAGTAAACGTCTCTCAGCTGGGTGCAGCGAATACCCAGAAGTAGACAAAATCATGACCAGTGGTGAGGTTTCAGAAACCAGCACATTAGTTTCCCTAGAGCCTTTAACTTTTGTGGACCCTGGATTAACAGAAACAACTTCTAAAGAAAAAGAACATGAAGAATTAAAACTTTGTCCTTCTTCATTGTCATTATTACCAGGGACCAGTGACATTTCCAAAGTGGACAATGGGAAGGAAGAGTTATGTAAATTAAACCTTGTCTCTGAAGCAGATGACAATCACCAACAGATTCTTGTCCACCATAATGAAAAAAACAGTTCTGCATGTGACAGCCCCATGACCACGAGAAGTGTAGTTGTTGTAGAACCCTTGGAAGAAGATTATAAAGTTTCATATTTCACATCAAACTTGTCTAATCTAGAATCCAGAACAACATCTCTAGAACAATGTGATTTGGAAGGTGATGGCTTGATGAAGGGATCTACTGAAAAGACAGATACTTCCTGTTTTGATCAGGACGATCAAAGCAAGAACTTGACCTCCAGAGAGGAAAATGAAGAACAGCTTTTGAGCCCTGGGAGTGAAAGGGGAGAATGCTCTCCTTTTAATTCCAGTCAGCCAGAAGAGTATGCTAGTGGTCATCATTCTGGCTGTTCTTGTGAAAAAGAGACTGTTGGCTCCCTAAAAGAAAATACCCTCCTCGATAACCGTTACATTCAAGGCGGTATCTATACAGAGAGCTTTTGTTCTTTAATGCCCAATTCTTTTACTGAAACCACAGAGGTAATGTCAAAAGAAAATAATTTGAGAATCACTTCAGACACTCAAGGAAGCTTTACAAACTATGAGGACCGAGAAACTTTTGCTAATATTAACCATTCAGGCAACAACTACGAAGAAAACAGTATTTCCTCGTTGATGCAGATTGAAGAGCCAGAACGGACAACCACTATAGATCCCAGTATATTAAGTGAAAAGATTTACAGTAAAGACTCGAACTCCTTAGTCAATATCAAGAGGAATTTGGAAAACAACACCCAGTTAAATGAAAGATTGTGTAGTGGATTTCTGTTTAAAAGAAAATCGCCTTTGAATATACTGCCAGAGGACCAGATAAGTCCTATAAATGAGATGTCAAAACTCAAGTATGATACTGTTCAGTTTCCATCATCCCCAGAATTAGATTACAGACCTGAGTCAGAAAAAACTGTATGGACCTCACATGATGATATTCCACATTCAGATGAACAGAGCATTCCTTGTGAGGTGAATGAACTTTCTTATACTGATGAACTAGTTGTAAACAAAGTAGAAAGTGAATGTGTTTTAAATCAACAAGTGTCCCTTAATTCTCGAGACCACGTGAAGTTGCCAGCTGACTCCCTACTAAATATAAACAAAGAGATGCCTAGAGCAAGAAGTGAGAATTTCCAACAGAGCCATCACCCTCCATTTGAGGATAGAGCAGACATCATCGCTAATACCCAAACCATTCCCATTAAGACTAGAATGAAAGACATCTGTCCACCAGGTGACAAAACCTGCAGTGCCTCTTCAAACAGTTCCACCTTAAACATCAAACCAGGAAGCCTAGAAAGAAAGAAACAAGCAGCTGATTCAGGCATGGAAGATCTGCATTCCAGGCTTCTCTCAAGTAAGAATGAAGCAGCTGGCTTTCCTCAAGAGGTTGCTGTCATGGAATGTCAAAATGTTCAATCTCAGGATAAAACTAGCAGCCATTGTGTAAGTAAAAATGCATCGGAAGAGGGCATATGTTCTGCTTCTGCTGCTTTTGAGTCCAGCAAAATCATTCTGGAAGTTGAAAATTCTTTTGTAACAAAATGTGAAAATGCATTTCAGCATAGCGATCACCACCACTCCCAAGGAATAGAAAACTCCACGGAAAGTAGTGCCCATAAACTGAGTTACGCATCAGAGGAAAGTGAACTTGATGGGAGAGAAACTAAAGATAGCCTTCAAGAAGATCAGATCAGAGAGAAAATGACAGTAGGCGCATTAAGTAATGGAGCCCCAGTCAAAACCATTTGTATCACCAGTCACATCAGACATAGTGAGGAAGGGCTAGAAGGAAAGGGACAGGATTCACCCAAAGAGACTGTATTTTGTAAGTATGACATCTCTGATTGTGCTACACAAGGACTAAACCAATCTGCAAACATTCCAAGTCCTGAAAAATTGTTGGACCAGTCTCCTAATGTTATGTTCTCCAGTTTTAAAAGCATGAACCAGGCAGAAGAAACTCTTTATAAGAAGGCAGATGAAGTCCTTGACTGCCAGAGTAACCTAAACAGACCAGATGAATGGAGAAGTGAAGATAAACCAGCTAAGGAGACACAAGACAGTGACCAGAGAGAGACCATTACAGAGCCTAGCAAAGAACTAAGCCACAACCAAAAGGATCTGATGGCTGGTTCAGGCAATAATAACCCATCATCTTGTGATGGTGCAAAGAAAGACGATTTTAAAGGAGCCTTTGAAAATATTCTTGGCTGTAAAGACTTCTCAAACAGCATGGTAGACACCGTCTACACAGACTGTACTAGTAAACCTGCAGAAGGAGTGCTGGATGAAAAGACATGTAGTACACTTCATAGCAGTGCAGGGCAAGATAAACGAGCATTACCTGAAACCTCAAGGAGTGCCCTGTTTCAGAGAGGAGAACTGAATGCTGGATTTGTAAGAAAGATTGACCAGAACCCAGATTTCCCCAAGGCTACTTCCTCTGCAGTGGAATCTCTTGAATTAAAAAAGTTATGTGAAGAGAAAATATGCAGATCTTTAAAAGATTGTGAAATGGACTTGTGTACAGATTCTTGTGCCCATGAGGTACAGTCTGTTGCAGATCGTGAACCAAATATAAGAGTATTGGGTAGAATAAATGTGTCTTTAAATTATATTCATCCTGAACAGCAAGTTAAAGGAGCATCTCTGAGAGAACCGCAAGTAATGGATAAAGGATCAGGACTAGAAATAAATTCTGTGTCTGATGAGGAAAATTCCTTTGCAATTTCTCCAAAAGAGGCAATGTCTTCTAGATGCCAAGATGAAAACTCTGCTCCCCCAGGGAGCCTACACTCCACTGAGAGACTGCCTTTGTATCTGTCTTCTCAAGAAAATTCAGAAACTAATGTTAATAATACCTTGGGTGGAGAAACTTACTCAAAAAATCTTTTTAAATCAAAAGATGGTGAAATACTTTGTAAAAATGTAAAGGACTACACAGTCCTGCCTGAAATGAAGGAAGAAGCACCAAGGGATATTAGTCCTAGTGAAGGAACCAGTGTATACATCAGTGTGAAAAAGGATATATCAAAAGTTGGTCACCCTGATGAGAATTCCAGCGTTAGACACTTGCCTTTGACATTGGAAACAGAAGCTAAAGTGAAAAGAGAAGAAATCGAAGAACACCAGAGGGGACCACTGGGTCACTTAATTATTGGGGAGAAATCTAAAGAGAGGATATCCAGAGAAGATGGTGATGTTGATAATATGAGCAAGATTTCTCAGACCCACTTTAAATGCAACAGAATACTGGTTGATGCCGAAGAACAACACAGCCAGAAGGTTTTCTACAACTTGTTGCAGAAGAAAGAGAAGCATATACATCAAAAAGGAGCACATGCTATGTTAGAACAATGCACATCATCTAATATGTTGTCTGATGAGGTACAAAATAAGAACCCACCTAAGGATTACAAGGATGAGTTCACCATGATGAAGGAAATCCCCCTAGCAAAGCTGGCCAGGGGTGACATTGCTGCATGGTCCCAGAAGTTGAAAGACCCAAAGGTGGAAAGCTTATATCAGCCATTGAAAAAAGATCTTGAGTTGTCCACAGGCCCTTGCCTTCCTAGCACTCCCCAGAAAGCACAAGATCCCCGCTCTGCTGGATGTGATGAAATACACAGTGCCTTTGAGAACACTTCGTATCAGAAAAGTGTGCTTCCCTTAAAGAAGCAGCCCCATCGAACGTGTAAAAGAGCTTCCTGTCAGGATCAAGTAAAGGTTGGGAGAAAACTAAGGAAAATCAGAAGCTCCACCTTTTTAAAGAGTTCCTCAGAAACCATCCCCACAAAAGAACCTAGACTTCTCAGTTCACATGCTGTGTCTGTATCTGTACAATTGGAATCTGAAACAGTAATGCCCAGGAGCTCAACTAGCCACATACCAAAGCAGAGGGCTGCTCCATGCCATGTTTTGAGGAGCCTGAACTTCAGGAAGCCTACCAAAGAATCAGCCTTACTAAGCAAGCTGTCCATCCTCGCATGTAAACTGGCCCCAGCCACAAAGACCCAGAAACTGAGATACTGGCGTTGTTCCTCTGAACTCCTTCCAATGGCTAAAAGCTACAAGCGACTCAGATATAAAAGGTTCCTGGATGGATTTTCATATAATACAATGCAGCTGAATCCATATTTGGCAGCTAGTAGATGGGATAAGAAGCCTAACAGTAACCCCGTGGCACTTTATCCTCTTGAAGCCATCAAAATGAGCTTCATAGATTTGAGCAACAAGATGCCATCCCTGCTGTTTGGTACCGAAATCTTTCCAGTATCCTTTCACATGAACTCAGGCTCAGATTGCATAGCTGAGGCCTTCAGGACTTTCCCTGAGCACTGTGCTCCAGCAAGGCTTGCCTTAGGAGAGGCCCCCAGGTGCCCATCTCAACCTCCCAAGTGGACGTTTTCTTTCTTCTTCTCACACGGTGGTTCTGGGATGGCCACATTCAGGGAAGACACTGGCCTTCAGAGTCAGGCTCACTCCCAGGCTCCTCCAGCTCCTCTCCAAGACTCTGGTGGCACTGCCATAGTCCAGACCAGAGCAGGTTTCTCTGTTCTTGGCCTTCATACGCTGCTAGCACTTTGTTCCCCTGGATGTTACCGGATCTGGACAAAAAAACGGAGCTTCTCCAGCCACATGCCTACCATACAGAGGCTCTTCATGACACAGTTTACACAGGGCTTGAAAGGGTTAAGGTCTCCAGCGTCCATAGCAGACAAAGTCTTCTGTTCTCTGCCCTACTCGGTGGGCAGGGTGCTGTCCATTTGGAGCCAGCATGGGCCTTCTGCCTGCCCCCTCGAAATGTCTGCTCTTCATTCCAATCACAGCAAGTGGCAGCCAAGCCTGCAGCCAAGCCTGGGCACGACAAGCAGGTAAAATTTGTCCCCTGTTCTTTGCAAATACTTGGTTTTCTTCTTGCCACCTGGGAGAGGAGAGGGGATTGAACACTTCTGGAAATGCAAGGTTATTTGGGGTCCTCTTTATGTCTGCATTTTCTGTTTACCTTGACAAGTCTCTGCTGGGAAAATGAAACATTAATTCTTAAGTGTAGACCCTTCTAATATCCTGCAGAATCTACTCCTGTATTTTGTACCATTCTTTTTTCTATCATTTCATTTTTCAAACCACCAAGTCTTTTTAACCTCATTTTCTCTTCTTGCCTCCGCTTTACAAAGAACAAACACCCAGTATGAGCTAAAGGCTCTATATAAATAGTGAAAATAATGGTTCGTAGCTATTATCTTGTTTACAAGGCATTATACAGCCAGCAGCTAACTCATTGTTTGGCATGTAAAAGATACAGAATAAATACTTAGCTATTTACAGAATTTTAAGTGAACTGGCAAGGAGTTATTGTGATATGGCCACTGGAAATAATTTCACTAATATCATATTACCTCCTATTTAAAAATAAGAGAAGAAAAATAATTTGAGAGTTAAACTACCTATCTTAAGAATTCTTAAAGAGCTGCTTTAGACATAATAGATAAATCCCGTTTATAATTTGCACTTTCTGTTGCTATTGTGAAGCCCTGGTGGCACAATGGTTAAGAGCCCAGCTGCTAACCAAAAGATCAGCAGTTCAGATCTACCAGCCGCTCCTTGGAAGCCTTATGGGGCAGTTCTACTCTATCCTATAGGGGTGCTATGAGTCAGAATTGACTCGATGGCAGTAGATTTGGTTTGGTATTGCTATTGTATAAAAATTCAACAACAGCAAAAAGCCTTAAAATTCCAAATAGCCTAGATGAAGCCTTGCTCTTTGCATATCTGAGCAGTCTCTTATGCAGAATAATTCTGTGTCATTAAAAAGCTGCTAGTGCATATTGTATAGTTCCTGAGCATCTTGACAAAAAAAGTAAATAAATGAAGGGGTTGTTGGAAAACACCCCAGAGCCTGAACATTGCTGATTGAAATTGAAAGATGAATCACTGTTAAAAGTCCTTGTCCTATAGTTAACAGAAAAATGTCCACTTCATGTAATCTAGCCATCAGTATGCCGTAGAACAAATCATTGCTTTCATTGCCTAGTTTGATTGTATGCCTCTGATATCTCATATTTGTTCTGTGCTGTATGTCTGTGACAAACTGCTTTAAATTGTGTTACCTTCTTTAAAATATGTTTACTCCTTAGGTCAGTCAGAGGGTAGTTAGTCATTTCACCCCATGAAGGTGTTTTCCTTTGGCCCTCTTATTTCTTCTAGAACTCTTTCCCCCCTGACTTTTCTGTTTCCTGGTGTAGAATATTTTCTCCCTCTCCCTTACTCCTTAGCCTGGCTTTTTTTTTAAATTTTATTTAAATTTAAATGGAAGGTGGAAGGCTGGTGATTATAGGGACTTTTTCCTCTCCTTGGCTCTAAAAGTGCTCTAACATCATGGGCGTGGGCTTAGAGTTTAGGAAGTCTGCTGTTTTTCTAAGCACACTTCCAAGTATTTTCCAGCATGGTAAACTGGTAAAATTACCCCCCAAGAACTGAGACTTGCTTTTAATAGAGATGATGAAGCTAAGGCACCTCAAGGTTTTTTCTAACCCAGATCACTCAGACAGCTAGTGTTTCAGCTGAGCTAGAACTAGACCCGAGATCTCCTGACTCCTGACTCAGTCACTTCCCTTTCCAGTGTTCCACCCTGCCTCTCCTTCCTTTATCAGTACTCCTCAAGGGATCCTGCACTGGTGTGGAGCATTATTCTCAAAATCTGAATTATCTGTTCTTTCCTAGCCATTAAACAAGTCTGTCTTACTTCTTAGAGGAAATGGATCATATGGCCTTGTTAGTTAAACCCGTACTATGTTCTAGGTTCAGTAGAAATTGATGCAGGTTTTATTTTGAGAGGCACAAAAAGCTCTCCAGAATTCATTTATAAAAATGGTAGCTTAATTTTAAAAGAAACAACCCTGTTAGCAGTTTACTTTTACATTGCCTTGTTTCACATGTTACTTTCTTAAAACAATAGGTTTTCTATGGAATTCTTTCTAAGACTATAGAAACTATCAAATTTTATTATAATAGAGTTAATACAGAGTTGACTGGTATATTTTATATTTAAATTATATTTAAAAAAACTTTAACATATATGTTCACCAACTTAATTAGAAGGATAAGACTCAAAATCATTTCTGTTTTCCTTCTTTCTCTTACTGTCCTCTCTTTATTTTTCTCTCCACCTTTTTTCCATTTAAATTAGAAAATAATCTTACTGTCCGCCTATCTCCATTCATTAATGGGCACATAATTCTCATGGCTGGGAGGTTTTCGTCTTCTTGGGTAACTGAAATTTCTTATATTCCTTGGGTTCTAATTAAATATCAGGTGCTAAGTACTCGCAGTGGCATCAGAATCTTTCCTGTTGTTCCACTTACCTGTTGCTTTTGTACTTTTGCTTCACCTCAGCCACACCATGTTACCATATGTGCCTCTTCCAGGCATGGAAGCTGTGTATAGCACCAGAGGCAGTCAGATGAGGTAAGCCTGCTATGGTGCCTGGCACACGAGGGTTCGCCACATATTTGTGTGCAAGAGGGAGAGCACATGATGTGGGCAGGGATGGCATGACTCTGACCTCTTGTCCTCCTTTGAAACCTGATCCACATCTCTCAGGTGAACAGCTCTCAGATTTGAATGTGCTCGTTACAACTGGCAAATAGGGATGTGTGAACAATACCATTTATAAAAAACAGCCAAAATCTCCAGGCAGCTTATTGCTCCAGAAGTCCCCTTATATCTTGGTCATTTAGCCAACTTCATTCCCTGAATGGGATTGTTCTCCTCTGAGCAGTATTCATTTGTTTGGTTCTCAGAATGTCTTCCCCCCTCCAAAAACCTGTTCCTTTTTACATTTCTCCTTATAAAACTGCTCTATACCAATGAAATGAGTTAACCACATTCTTGGCAATTTTCTGCATATGCACCCAGGCTACCTCCAGAAGTGAACAGAAAACAGGTTGACTGGAGATGCCATTCCTGAAAAAGAGGGAAAGTTTTAGCCCTAGTTGGACGTATAAAGATGTTGAATGTGCCAGACATAAAAAGTGGACACCTCTCATATTTTTCTTCTTTGTCTTTCTCTCCATGATGCTAGGCTAGAGCCTCCATTCTCTGCCTTGGTACCAAAGTCTTGCTTGGTAACAGAAACAGCTGTCAGCAAGCTCCTGCTTTCAGCCTCTGAGTTCCAAGTTCCTGGATTTGATGAGCTGGATGGCGTGACAGCAGTGTGCCCTCGACCACAGAGCAGTCCTCCAGAACAGAAAGAGGTAAAATGCTGGTAGGGAAATGTGACTGTGGCACTGGCAGTGTCCATGACAGGCATAGATTAGCACTTGAGTATCCTTACTTAACCACTGTTAGCTTCAGCTGAGTACTGGAGATTACTAAGCGAGGAGTGTTTCTGCTTGGCTGCTAAAGGATACCCTGGATTTCTTCATCTATATTGTGTTGCAGATCCTTTTTTCTTGAAGAGAGCATTTAACATTGTGTAGAGAATTGGACCAAAGAGCTGTTTTGTGCATTCAGATGAGTGAATGTTGATGTTCTTCAGTTTTGCAATGTCTGCTGTCTCCAACAGTTGCAAACTTTCATACTGATAATATCTGAACTGAATGTACAATTCTGTTTTAGTTATATAAAGGAGAGTAGTTGCTGAAAACATAGTTGGCAGGAGGATGGGGAGCTTTATCATAGGCTACTTAATAGAATCATCTATAAACTGAGGAAGTGATGTCTTTGTGAAGAAGGGAGACTTTCCATATTTAAAATGTCTTATAACTTGGAAATCCTTCTTCTTAACCCTTAAAAATAGGCTGAGCCAGAGAAGAGGCCAAAGAAAGTCTCACAGATTCGCATCCGGAAAACTATTCCTAAACCAGATCCTAACCTTACCCCCATGGGCCTCCCTCGACCCAAAAGGTGAGCTCCTTCTCTAATACAAACTAATTTCACTTTTATGGGAAATAGTTTGGCCAAATATAATGACCATATACTTGGATCCATTTATTATACATCTAGGAATTTATCCCAAAGAAATAATTGATAATGTGACCAGAGATTTATGTACAAGAATATTTTAATGCTTTCTTAATTTTTATTGAGCTGACTGAGTGCAGGTATTGTGCTAGCGCTTTGCATGCGTAATCTCAGTCATCCTCCAACAACGTTGTAAGGTAAGTACTTTGTTATCCCCATGTGTAGATGAGGATACTGAGGCTTAGTGGTTAAGAAACCTGTGTCAGGTTGTAGTGTCGGCCCATGGCACACGTTTTCTGTCTACTACAAGCTTTACCTGACTCCTGTGTCCAGGCTTCCAACACTCGGCACACACAACTGGGAAGGGGTCTAAATGTCATGAGGGAGAGAAGTTTAATTTTTTGGAAAATGCCAGATCCATGTTATGGTCTATATTATCGCCATTAAAAATTCAGTTTTCAAAGATTTTTTTTTTTTTTAATGACATAGAGAATTAGTAACTCTATAAAGTGAACTGGAAATAGAAAACAGACTATCAAATTATATATGTGGTGCAATTCCATTTTTGCCATTTATATATATTACATGAACACACTGTAAAAACAAACTTCTTAGAAAGATCTACAGACTTGGATTTCACCCCTTCATTTCTCATTGGCAGAAGAAGCCTAACAGTGGTCCCTTATGTAACCCTGCATGAGTTATTTTACCTTTCTGAGTTTCAGGAACTTATGTGTAAAATGTGAATAAGAAAAGTCCCCAAAACTTAAGATTGGTCTACAGTCCAGTTGAGAAAAAATGTGTACTGAATCTTTTGTAGTGCTTCACACAGAGCATGAATGCAGTAACTAGTTAATTATGGTGATGATGATGATAATAATGGTGATTGATGTTGCACTTCTCCCATGTGATTTTATCCTAATATAATGTATTTTTACCTTGTAATTATTTTGATCACCTATTCTATGTCTCTTCAAAAGACATTTTAAAAACATTTCACCTATCCAAGGTTGAAGAGTAGTTAGTAGAATGAGCTAGGATTCAGGATTAGCTGTATTCCATCTTGCATTTGTGTGGAGATGTAACTTTTGAGAAACCTGGTTTATATAAATAAGGAGTTGTGAATGGAAAGAGTTTTAATATAGTAGTATCATTCAGCACTTTTACTTTTTTCAAAAGTTATATGCCAAAAAAAAAAATCACAAAATGACTATTGTCAAATTATATTTAAGGATCTATTGCCTAATTTTTTTTAAAGCAAAGTATTGAAAAGCGCTTGACTCGCAAAAGTTTACATTACCCAGACATTGGTGGCAGTCACCGTGTCAGTGTCTGGGAAGTGCACCAAAAAGGTTGTACCAGTAAATCTCAAATGCCTATGACTGCATCTGTTACTCTTTCACTTAGAGGCACCTTATTTAATTTGATGTACTGAAAGGGGATTGAGAAAAGTAAGAATTTCAATAAATTTTTTGCCTGTATTTTATGACAAAATATTCTTACCATTTTAAATATACATTTGTTTAAAAACCTTAAAATTGCAGATTTAATACATTAAATTCATGGAAAATATTTGCCACATAACTTACCAGCAAAGGCAATCTTTATTCAAGCCAGTCAGCCAAATCTTTCTTACTTTTTGACAGAAAGGGTCTGACTGTTTTCCAATTCAATTAAATATGTTAATTTGCATTTTGAAGAAAATTATAGAAACTACTTGGAAATAAATTATGGAACATATCTTGTAAGGTAGATTTCTAAAAGCCATAAAGTCAAAATTAAAAATGTGTATAAGTAATATAATTAATTTATCCACTTTAATAATAAATTATTAAATCAACATAATACTATTTCTCATTACTTAATTTGTAACAAAGCAATATAATGTGTAGTTAAAATAAATTATGAAGTGAGGAGTATGGTAGGTAGCATGATATTGCTTCAGTAAATGTATGTGCATACATGAATGTAACTCTGTTATTAGGCTTTTAGAACCAATTAAGAATCATGTAGAAAAATCAAAAATAAATCCGTTCATTTATTTAAATCTCATGGTTGGTGCTATATTTACTATAAGAGAAAACTGTATCGCTACAAATCAACTGGCATGGCAGCTCACCATATAATGTTTGTTATTGTTAACAGGAGGTAGAAATTATAGCATTTTATAAGAACCAAATAAGATGAGAATTTACTGTAATTGAATTAAATGTTTAATTATATGAGTTGTTAAAAGTTCATACCTTAACTGAAGGAAATTACTTAAAAATTTTATCTGTGGATTTAAACACTTCAGCTTGAAATATATGGTAGTCCCAGTAGATATTTCAGTTATATTTTAAACAAAAAAAGAGTCAACTATTGAGTGGAGCTTTTCTTTCTTAGTAATGACTTCCTGTTACTGAGAATTGAGAACAGGTTGGGAAAAAAATATTCTATGCAATTAAATACATGAACAAGCTATTTTTAGTGTTTGAACCTTTTTTTGCTTTGTTATACAGGATCTCTCCCTTAAGTTGGCATTATTTAATGATAATTAGGGAACATATAAGACAAATTCACTCTGACAGTCCCATTGCACACGTCATCTGAAATCAGAAAATCCTAACACCAGCCAAGATACTCTCGTTTCTAAAGTCATGAATCTCTGTTAACAGAACTGTGCATAAGGTGGGAACAAGTCTCAGGCAGGTTTACAGTGATTTCATTAATCACCACAGAGGGCTTAGGAAGATCAGTGATTTGATTCGTATACCAAAGTAGAGTTCAGTATGGATAGGGGCTGTTCTGATAGAATTTGTGGGAATGGAGAAACCTACCTGAGAGTTGAGGCTACTTCTCAGACATACCACTTTTTGGAAATTAAAAATCAAGAGATTGATTTCCTTAAAACTCTGTGTTCTCTTGTATCCTTTGGAAAGTCTTCTGGTACACTAGTATGAAGACCACTGGTCTAGGGTATTTCGAAGCAACCTTTTTTAGCTTCTAGGGTTTTTACCTTATACCACCTTTAGTCTAGGTTCAGTTAGGAGATAGAAACCACAGAGTATTTTAAATGAAGAAAGTTAATGTAAAGAAGTATTAAACTCAATAGAAGAGAAAAAGATGAAAGAGAATTCTAAGGAGTACTCTAGGACTAAGGGAGAGTACCCAAGGAAGAACAAACTTGAAAGGAGGACCCCCCTCCCCAAGGTTGGGGTTTAGACTTGGTTCAAGAAGGTGTGGTTACAGCCCATTAGATGGCTGGGTTGCTGAGGCCAGAGCTGGTTCAAAACTGGGCAAGCAGGAAACAACATCCTTATGGGCACAGATGAACTGAGGCTGGTGGATATGTACATGGAGGTGGAATACCACCTAGGTGGCAATGGATGCAAGGCCTGGAGTATGTGGTATTCGCTTCCGGAAGGCGAATGGGAAACAACCCTCAGGGAGTTGGTGTGCCACTGCGTGCTTAAGTCCTAGCATGCAGTGTCTATATCAGCAGGCCTGTGGGAAGGTGGTCACAGGGCGTGTGCTGTGAGGTTGCAGAGGGACCGTATGCTCTGGCTGCACAGCAGGGCAGAGTACCTCCAGATGACCCAACATACACACACCACCAATGGACCATGCAGAAGCAGGAAAAGAAGCACACCAGAACGAGAAAGAGAAGCCCCCTTCCTCCTGCACATCCCCTTCAGCACACACTTCTGACAAAGCTTAGCCTCATATTCAGAGAAAAGGTGAAATGCTTAAAGTATCCAGTCCGTTATCACAGAGCAGGTACCGACGGGTGAATTTTGAGCAGGGAGGCAATAAACTGAAACTGGCACATTCCAGTAGACAATAGGAGTTTGAACACATTATCCACTTAAATAAGAGCTGTTCTTTCATAAAGAGATTTGAATAAATGAAAAGGCATATATTTAACACAATCACAAAGTTCATATGGAAAAATGAAGAAAGAGGAGTCAGGAAAATTTAGAAAAAGAGTGAAATAAGGGAGTACTAGTAATGAATATTAAAATATGAAGTCTATATAATTACAGCAGTAAGAAGTTTCCTGAATACACTCAAACACTTTGAGGGACAGAGTAGCAGGGGTAGGGGTCTGGAGACCATGCTTTCAGGGGACATCTAGGTCAGTCGGCATAACAAAGCTTACTAAGAAAATGTTCTGCATCCTACTTTGGTGAGTGATGTCTGGGGTCTTAAAAGCTTGCAGGTGGCCATCTAAGATACATCAGTTGGTCCCAACCACCTGGAGTAAAGGAGAATGAAGAACACCAAAGACACAAGGAAAGTATTAGCCGAAGAGACAGAAAGGGCCATATAAACCAGAGACTTCATCAGCCTGAGACCAGAACTAGATGGTGCCCGGCTACCACCAATGACCACCTTGACAGGGAACACAACAGAGAGTCCCTGATGGAGCAGGAGAAAGGTGGGGTGCAGAATTCAAATTCTAGTAAGAAGACCAAACTAAATGGTCTGACTGAGACTGGAGGAACCCTGGAAAGCATAGCCCCTGGATTCTCTATCAGCCCAGAACTAAAACAGTTTCTGAGGCCAACTCTTTGTACAGGGATTGGACTGGACTATGGGACATAAAGTGATACTTGTGAGGAGTGTGCCTCTTAGCTCAAGTAGATACAAGAGACCAAATGGGCAGCTTCTGTCTGGAGGTGAGATGGAAAGGCAGAGAGGGTTAGGAGCTGGTTGAATGGACATGGGGCATCAGGTGGAAGGGAGGAGTGTGCTGTCACAGTGTGGGGAGAGCAGTTAGAGTCACATTAACAGTGTATGTATAAATGTTTGTATGGGAAAAAATAAAAAAAGAAGAATTACAGCAGTATGCCAGAGTATAAATAAATATACAAATCAGTAAAACAGAATAGAAAGTCTAGAAATAGATACAAATATATAGAGAAATTCAGTATATAACAAAGTTGGCATCTCAAATCAGT